GTGGCACTGTGACAAAGCGCTAAATGTACCTCAGAACCCTCTCCGGTTCTCATTTAGGCGAACTGCCGGTACGTGGAAAAGGATCATAACGGCAGCGAACAGTAGAAGCGAAACCATTATGGCCAACTTTCAATAGGATTTTCCAAGTGTAGTACTGCACCGACCATCGCCTTTGGCATCATTTCAGCATTTAATTCCAACCGAACAACATTCACCTGGCAGTAAACTCTCGGTTCAGGTCACCCCTGAAATGTTCTGGCGAAAATAGACTCTCTGGTTTCTCGACCTTTTTTTCAGAAATCATCATTTTCTGCCTCCACTTTCACATTTCAACTGTAACAGCATATCGAGAGGATTGCTTTTGGAACACTAATCTTGATACGGCTTGCATTCTTTTCTTTATTCAAGTATAGTAAAGCATTATTTTCCTATTTGAAGGTATGACAACTTCAGCGGGAGGTGACACTGCTGTGCGAAAGAAACGCACATTGCAAGATCGTGAGAAAAGGAAAGTTAGAAAGAACTCAGATTCAAATGAGCTCAAGAAAGAAACGCGAGATTTGAAGACTGTCCAGCGTACGAAGAAGCCCAACGATGAATATGATTATGATTCGTCTGATGAGGAGGTAAATCTCTTTGTCTACGGTTTTCTAGTTTTTTTTTCTGCTTCCTACTCATTGTCAGCATTTTGTTTAGGACCTTCGAAATACCATAGGAAATATTCCTGTGAACTGGTACGACGATGAAACTCACATCGGCTATGATCAGCAAGGTGAAAAGATAGCAAAGCCGAAAAAGAAGACGGAGATTGATGTTTTTCTTGAGAAGATGGAAGACCCCGACTACTGGTACGTTATTTTACTTGTGTATGCAGAATATTTCAAAAGGGAAGGAAACCACACTAAAATACGCTTACGTACAATATTCGTTAGATTTTATTTCCTTTCAAACATTCTGTCAGTAGTACACTGCGAAGTTTAGGCGGAAAGTGTTTGACCGCCAATCCGGGACCGATGTTGTGCTTACGGATGAACAGGTTGGTTTCCAAGTTTTTTTCACTCTCATTCCCCTTGTTTTTTATGCTTCAGAAAGCCTTGAATCAAATCTACGGAGACCCTTGTGAAGTTGAGAAAGCTTTAAGAACTCCTAAAAGCTCAAATAAAACCGTGCAAACGTTGCGGAGTAGATGGTGTCGCGACTCGGGGATTTTTCATAGAGCATTGATTCCCTACGTCACTCACTGAAAAGCTACCAAAATTTGCCATTTATTCTTGCAATAAGTTGCGAGATCTACAAGACCACGTCAACTCTTGAAAATTATTTATTTTTTTCCAATGGTTACTAAGATAGGATCACAAAGGATGTGATCGCAAAGGAGGAGTCAAGAACAACAAAACCGTGAAATACGCGAGTCCTTATGCACAGCAGCAGTCCGATTCATGAGAATGCCAGTGGTGGCTCCGACATTTAGAATGAGCCGTATGCACTCAGATAAGCACTTGCTCCTCCATCTACTACATTGAGTTGTTGAGAGCATGGCAGATGGGGGAGCTCGTGAGGGTAGTCTTATACTTGTTCGGCTTTCTCATGTCTTCGCGCCACTTAATGCTTTAGTTCAAGTACTTGTGGTAACTTATTTAATATTTTCTCCAGGTTGAGAGCTGAACAACCTCGCATCTGGTAAATACCCCGTGGTTGGGTATAATCCTTATGAGCCGTTTTTGGACTTATTTTCTTCGGAAAAGACCATTCATCCAATCGATAATAGGTATGGGACACGTTTGCTGCTGTGTTTTCAGTTGTTCTCTGTTCTTTATTACGAATCCTCTTTCTTTTCAATAGTCACCAGCTACTTTTATGTTTTAGACGGTTATTTTTCCGCAATTTTAGTGCAGTACATATTCAGGCCGGAGCCGAAATCACGTTTCATTCCATCGAGGGACGAAATGCGTATTGTGAGCCGCATGGTACATGCCATTAAAATGGGTTGGGCTAAAGGCCCCAAGCCAAAGCCGGAGAAAAAGGTGAGTCAAAGGTTTGATGGAGGCAAACTCCAAATATCAACTCAACTTATCTGGCTTTCACTGTTACCAGGTCTACGACCTTTGGGCTGCTGAGGATTCGATGGACCACAAGACAAAATCCGAACTGGCTCGTATGAGAATGCATATGCCAGCACCTAAGGGTAACGAAACATTCCTTGTAGAATTGGTTTCTCCGTGGGCATTATTCGCCTGCTCGCTCAGTACAAATTGCTGATTCCACATTGTTTTGTTAAGCAGGACGTCTCTTATTATATCATACGTTAGGAGGAATGAAGGGAAAATTAGGGGGATGCTGAGCCGATTTATAGATTATCGTTTTGTACGTGTTTTAATACCCAACTTTCATACGAATATCTTCAGATGCCGCTTCCTATCCATGCTGAATCGTATAATCCACCTGAAGAATACCTGTTCGATGAAGAAGAAAAACGAAAGTGAGTGCTCTCACCTTCATTTCATCTTCATTCTTCTCGTAGTTAGCGATTTATTTTCTGTCAGGAGTTGAATGAACGCAAAACACTAACTAGTTGCACCGCAACTGCGCCCCGAAAATCATCGCAATAATGGAACAAGATCAAGGCTTTGGCCGCTTGAGTCAATCTCCTCCGGAATACGCTCGATTTCTTTTTCCAGTTCAGCATTTACACGTGCGTAGGTCCTAGGCAAGGATTTGCTGGTTCTTTAAAATGTACAAGTCGGTGTTTTTATCACTCCAGGCAAGTCTGACACCATTCAACTGTCTTTGGAGGGATGGAAGCTTCCGTTAGCCTGAACCAGGTCCGATTCGAAATTTTACCCCTGGACCATGCACACGGCATGCGCCGCCTTTTGTCGCAAAAAATACCCGAAATCTGGCCTATTATCTGCTTAAAATCTTCTAAACGTATTCATTTCAATTTGAAGACCATTTCATAGTCTAAGTGAATGCCATTACGACGCTGAATTGAAGCCGAGTTTTCCGTTTCATCCTTTATTACCAATTCAGGTGGGAAGAGGCTGAAATTGAAGATCGGCGACTGCAATTTATGCCACAGAAGTACGATGCATTGAGAAAGGCGGGTATTTAGTTGAGTTGAGTTCTCAGATAATTTCACATTGTGGAGTGTTCATTGCAGGTTCCTCAGTACGACAAATTTTTGACAGAACGCTTCGAGCGATGTCTTGATTTATACCTCGCTCCTCGAAAGATAAAAATGAAGGTTTGCTTGGGGCTTGGCTGCCTTCCAATTTTCTACGAAGCTGGTCATTTGATTGCCTTTGATTTTTATCAATTTTTTTATTCAGCTGCAAGTCGACCCATCAGAGCTTCTCCCTGACTTGCCGAATCCGAACGATCTCAAACCATTCCCAACAACCTTAGCCTTTGTGAGTTTGCACTGGATTATGTTTATAGGCGCATTTCAGTTTCTTTCTATATGCGCCAGTTAATTTTAATCCACTACCTCTAAAGAACAGTATTGCCGATCAGCTGGCCCACATGTAGAACTGGGCAGCGTAACGTCCTATTTTTCTTTGTTGCAGTATATGCGCGCACACGTCGGCCAAGTGCGATCAATTAGTGTCGAACCAGATCGCGGTGAGCTGTTAGTTTCTGGTGGAGAAGATGGCACTGTTCGTCTGTGGATGATGGATTCGGGTCGCTGTATCAAGGTTTGTTTCAGAAGCATGAATTTGTAATTCATTTTCGCTCATGAAATCCTCGAACATTGTTAAAATATTTTCGATTCAGACCTACAAAGTAGGCGGTCCTGTGACTTCTGTGGCATTCTGTCCTTTGGGTAGTAAATCGTTAGTGGCTGTGGCCTATGAAGGGCGTCAGGTAGCGTTCTGTACTTTTTAAATCTTCTCTCATATTTTTACTTGTGTTCCTTATTCGAGAATATCGAGTTTAGATTTCTATATTCAATACTAATTGTGGTGATAAACTTATATGCTCCCAAACAGAGGAATTTATTCGTGAGGTGCGTTTGTTTTGAAAATAACTGATTTACTGCAGATATGCCTTGAAATCTTGCTGTTTGTTTTGACTTGTCTTGCTTGTTGACTGCTGTTGCAACGCTGCAAGTTGTGCTGCAATGTGTCTCAAGCATCCTGAGTTATGGAAAGACTTACGCCCTGGGCGGGAATACATAGAATGCGCCCCTCCACCTTTCCGGGCTATTGTGCTACCAATTACACCAGTGGGGCACTATTTGACCATAACTCGTCTTCAGTGGTATATTTACCATAACTTATCAGCTCTCCCACGTTTAATGTGATGAGCTGGTTACCAGACATTGTCACCAAATCGCAAGGCTGAAAGCTGTAGCAGATATTAACTATAGCCCCGGAAGCTAGAGGTGCGAGTTCGATTCCCGCGGGGAGCGAAAGTTTTTATAATTAGCATTCTTCAAACCTGCTGGTTACATTGAAATCAAATACTGTTGGCGGAATAGTTTTTTATTGTATTCGGTAGGTTGTGTAATTTTTTGGATTTTGATGTTCACTCTCTGAAGGTCCCTATAGAGGAGTCCGATGGTAAAGTGAACTGGCGTCGTATCAAGGACAGAATCGTACTGGAGATGCCAAATGTAGGCTTTGAACCTATCCATTTGTTGCATTCTGTTTCCCAATTGATCAGTGATTTTGTTTTGAATTTGCCTTCTCTTGAAGGAGAACTTCTTTCTTGAATGTAACTTATTCTCTCTATCGTTATTATGAAGTAGTCCTCCATCGTAGAAAGTAATGCTCTAGGAGGTTCGGAAAGTCGTCTGGCATGCCAAGGGAGACTACCTGGCTTCGGTTGCCGTGGATGACATTGCTACCTCAGTATATATACATCAGATGAGCAGGGCTAGATCTCAGGTTAGTGCTACAATGAGTAGATCTATTCTTGAGTTCTTTCTAGATTTTCAATTCTTAATTAATTCCGCTCACAGCGCCTCTGTTCGGCTTATAGCGCTCAGTGGACTTCGACGTCCTACAAGTAGTTAGTCCTTGTGATCCACACTGTCTGAATCACAACGGGTTTATTTCGTGTGGTGACCAGGACGAAGACAAAGTTGTTCTAGATCCAAATTTTGCATAATGCGAAATTTTCCGTTCTTTTTTACACACGTAGAACTCTGCAGCTGATCTCAAAAACGCAATCGATTCTGTTCTCTGCATTGCCAAATGCGATTATCGTTGAACTATGTGTTCATAGATTTGATGCATAGAAAACTTAATACTGCATTAGTTGTTGTATGTATGCTGCTTTCGAATTCCAGTGTCCGTTCACGAAGAGGAAGGGCCATGTGCAAAGCGTAGCTTTCCATCCATCTCTACCAAGGCTCTTCGTTGCTACGAAAATTCATGTTAGGTCAGTTAAAATAAAGATCTTTACAATGAAACAGGTGCTTGATTTTCATCGTGAGTCTTTTACGACTCAGCTAGTATAATTAATCGGCTTTTAATGAAACTGAGCGAAAACCTATGATGACCTGAGGAGTGTTCATACGAACAATAGGGGCGATAAATCATTGGGCTGGGCAAGAGTTGAGCTGCAAAGATCCTGCTGACAGCATGAACCGTGAAAGATTTGTTGTCTAGTTTCCTTGTCATAGGTTCATTGGGGAGATAAAAGATTAGCTACACAATGCAATCTCCCTACTTTTTGACCAACCTGATTAAGGCGTGATCTTATTTTCATAACAAAGGAAGGTAGAGCTATGAGTTAGTAGAAGCGTTTCTATCGATGGAGTCTATTATCTAGTCATTATTTAGAGTTTACGACTTGGCTCGCTGTCAACTCGTCAAAAAATGCATAACTGGAATTAAGCATATAGGCGCCATGGTGCCAGACGTCCAAGGAGAGGTAAGAATCACATATTAAGATTTGATTTATATTTTGCCATATGTGCGTGATCGTTGGGTATGGTAGCCACGGGAGTTTGACGGGCCAGTCGAACCCAACCAAGAAGACCTGAAGAGTGATTGCTCGCTTAGTAGAATACTCAGTTATTTCTCCAAAGATGAAGCGATTTTGGTATTCCAGAATCTTTTCGTTGGTGGACTTGATCGAAAATTCGTTTGGCTCGATTTACAATTGTCATCAAAGCCATGGAAGAGTTTCAAGCATCATAGCTCAGCTATTAGGGGCGTAGCCTATCATAAGAGGTAAATAGCCTTCTTCCGTCGGGGATTTGGCTGTCCACTGGTAGTAGTGCGAAGACAATGTGTCAGAAGCTTATCTCCGTGCGGATATAAGCGTGTTCTCTTGTTCAAGTAGATCTCTTAGAGAGGCAAAGATAGTCACTCGAGCGACACGGCGTCGCTGGTTTCAGGATAACAATATGCGTAATAGCAGGTGTTGTCGCTGTGTGTTTTACTGTAGCTATCGCCACGACTGGCCGACAGTGATCTTGACGGACGGGAATCAGGCAAGTTTATTACGCGACGATTTCACGATAGACTTAGTTTCGGGGATAATGAGAGTTAATCCTGTGAAAGAGTGAGAGGTACCCAGCTACAGCGCGGTCCAGTTTCGGCGCGCTATTTTCGGAAGTACTACGCAGAACTACCCCTGACTACTTCATGAACCCTTATTCTGGTTTTTGTTCGTTCCAACCTTCAAGCGAATAGTTTAGGTGAACGGTCTCTCCATGCTGGATGCTATCTGGCACCCCACTCAGCCATGGCTGATCACTGCAGGAGCCGATGGAACGATAGCTTTGTTCAGTTACTGAGGTAGATTCAAAGTTCGAATAGATTTCTATCACTTCTACTCACTATTGTGACTACCTAACCCTAGGGGGTCCAGCGGGCTAATGAGTTGGAAGCGAATGCGGTAATACATAAATTATGTTAACCTTTCCGTTGAAATTTGAAAAAGCTGGAACTTGTTGTTATTTGTATTTGAAATGCGTTGTTGAATTTGTTGGATTGCAGATAGATTGTATAATATTACCTTAGGTTTACAAAAGCCAGTTGTTGATCGTTTTTTGTTACTGCTACCCATCTGTAGTAAACCTTTAAAAAATGCTAAGCTTTGGTGAACTTGGGCGAGGGGATTCGAAATCTGGAAATACGGGAGAAGAGAAGATACATTGGAAGACATGAGATTGGATTTGAGAAGTGGAAAGTTTTTTTTTCCATAAAAGTTGGAGAAACACACTGCTTCCACTAATGTTTCTTCCACCTCCAAAATTCCCTAAAATAGCTTTTTGAAATCTTTCAAAAAATTCTTTGAATTAGAACCGTTACAATGTGAGTGCTACTTTCCACAAAAAAATCTACTTTTTCTAACTGTAACTTGGGGCTTGTGCAAAATTAGCATTCACATGTGTATCACTTTCCCTGAAGACCTGAAAACATCTTAAAATGCTAGGGTAGTTTTTAGATGAAAGAATCATTGCTTGAAACAGTATATTGGCAGTTTTGGCAAGATTTGCCAATTTGTCATCTCCACGACGCACTTTAGAATATTCTGGGGCGGGCTTCGAAGTGTGTCACATGGTGACAAATCAAATGGCCATAAAGCAATATCTGGTCGGTCACGCTACAAAAATTTTTCAATAAAAAATAACTGCATGAGGTACAAGAAACCGGGTTAGTTACAGTCGAAAGTGATTTATTCAACATATAAATAATAACTCTTATTAGCTTATTACAGCAGTATATATAATCGCATCATAGAACAAGTATTGGCGACAAACTGAGTGAGTGACACCACAATATCCTATGAAACACCTGTACGGAACTGGAAGTAATGTAAGCAAATAAGCGACAAACGCAGCGGTGGCGGCAGCGGCGCGCAAGGCGCACTCTATTAACGGCATTTATAGGATATGTGGAGAGGAAAGGCTGTTGGCCACAAAAGAAAGCCATGGACGTTCTCATGAAAGTCTGAAGAGAAACAGATACAGACACACGCACGCATATAATGCGACAATAGGAATGGAGACGTATAACCGTAGTATGTACGAAAGTGAACGGCGACGCTGACACAGACGCGCGCGGTTGAGCAGCGCGTGCCAAGAAGTAATCAGGGCGATGAAGAAAAGTGAATCTAATTGTTGAGATGTTGTGATTCAGAAAGCACTACAGAGTGATGTATAAGGGTATGGCCGGCCTCAATACGACAATCGAACTCGGCTACTATGCGAAATGACTTGACTCTGCGTGGGCGTGCGACACAATCACTGCACACCAATCGATATGTGGATCTCGCAGCATTAGTCGGCTGTGGCGATTATCGAACGAGGACACTGCCAATGGCACGTGATATTTTAGAATTTTGTAGAACGATACAGTCGCCTCACGAGATACTGTATGACGACGATCGCTTGTACAGAAGTTAACGTCAGGAGCAGACCGAACACAGCCACCAGGGTTGGCTTGGCCAGGCACATCTGTCCAGCGGTCTGAAAGCTGGCAATAATACTGGGAGTCATAGATTGATTAGTTAAGAAATATTATTTCAAAAAGCAGCGAAATGAAGTTGGCATGGTGTATTAGCTAAATGGCACCAGCAGACGGAATCAGCTAGTTATTTATTTCGGTATAAAAGCCTATGAGGTGCGGATTGTACAGAAACACTAGGATGAGACAGGTTCTTCTAATCATGATAGCAATTATTGTTGAAATGATGTAGGAGCTTTAGCCTTCTCCTTTTACAGAAAGGTTGGAGGCAGCGATTACGACAGGTACTAGAGAAGTTTGAAGGGAACGTGGGGGTGCCCAATGGTAT